GATGTAACCTTACCTATGGTAAAAGGGAATGGTAACACTCAGTGAGAAAATAAATGTTAGGTGTACAGCATAGAGAAGTGACCCAAAATTGCTGCCAATAGTAGCTCTATTCTACTGACTAAATTCAAGAGCTATATTAAAGGCAACTTTTATAACACTCCTATGAGAGGAGGAGGATGAGACTAAGCCGTCTTTACTACAAAAGACCTGAGCTGTGAGGTTGTTGAGAACTTCTGGCCAAAATGAAAACATAGGTAGATATGCTTTGCTTCCTCACACAACCAAATGGTGGATAACAACCCATTTAAAAATAAACTGCCAGAACAGAAAACTGTGTGAAAGTCTGCTGAGTAAGGATTTAAAGAAACATCCATTCAGACTGGTAGGAGTGGTGGAGACAGAAAGCCAGGGCAGAAAGCACGTGTTGCAAGACTATGCCTGGCAGACCAGGATATTCCACATGCAGGTGTGCATAAGCTTGGAGGCACAACTGGGGAATGAGACAGACTGCACAACCTAGGGTTCCAGTGTGGGGAAATAAAGCCTCAAACCATTAACTGTAAAATCCCTGGGGGTTGTAGCAATGGGAGTAATAAAGCCTTAAGACAAAAACCTTTGTCCTAAGGCCTTTGTTCATCTGTTACACAAGCAAATTTTAGGGGAAGTCTCAGGGAATGGTTTTAGTGGAATACTCATCAGTATTTTAGATGTGTACTTTCAGGGTCATGGTGTCCACTGAGTGGTCAGTACCAGTGTAAATGAACAACAACAATGGAGGTTCAGTAGCCTATTGCCACAAAAAACAAACTCATGAGGCAAATGCTGGTGCAACAGGAAAGAGGTTTCATTCAGGTGTTGTGTGATCTGGGAGAATGGCAGACTCTCACCTCCAAGCCTATCTCCTCAACAAGACAAAGACAAATGCCAGTGTGTCTACAGTTCCTGCTCCACTTAAAATACCATCCTTGGGAGTCCATATGCAATTGCTAAGCAGTCATATAGTCCCCACCCAGGGAGCTTAGTTTCTTCCTGGCTGCTGTTCATTTCAGGCTCCCTCCTGGGGTGTGCATGTGGATCTTCCATGACCATGGGCCATGTGGCTGCTGGGGCTGCAATTTTGTGTTCTCTCAGGAGAGCACTTGAATGTATTGAGCAGTTCATCACCAGGTGGGAAAGAGCCAGTGAGAGGTTTCCTTCTGCAGGCCCTGGCTCACCTGGCCTTTGCAGGTGAGTATAATGTGTGAATTCAGAGAAGAAGAAGTCACAAACCAGACAGCCCCTTACTTTCACACTAAGAAGGTATAATCTTTCCATCTAGAACACATAATTCCTGCTAGTTCTTTAGAATTTTTTTTATATTATTCAAAACTACTTTTTGAACTAATATGTGGATTGTAATTGTTTCACTAGTGTGCTTAGCTCAGAAGTAAAATATAAATGAAATAATTTTCTTTTATTCCTAGGGCTTCTTCACAATTTTATTCAACTCTCTGAATCATTTTTCAACACAGAATTGTCCATGGCCAGAGTTTGTTAAAACTTTCATTTTTAATAATGCACTTTTTTTCAATATACCAAAAGTATTGTCATTTCAAATCTAATCTATATTAAAGATCTGTGTTCCATTTAAAATTTATTTTTTAATCTGTATAAAATTATTGGGTTGACATTGTTTAATAAAATTACATAGGGCCCTGTTGGAATCTCCATGCTTGGTTTCAGGAACTATAACCCCCCATGGCTAAGGCTCAGTAAGAGACCTTATGACCATAAGCCACTAGGGAGACAAATCTTATCTTACCAGCAGGGAAATCACCTCTGCCTTCTTTACCTCACCCTGCTTGGCCCCAGGCAAGTGACTAGTTAGCCAATGATGGATGAGATTCCTCAAGGGAGGGTCGACTTAAACTAGGCCCCATTATGAATGGGCCATTAGAAAAGGAGTTGGAGGACTATAGGAAAAAGGGGTGATAGACCCTCACTCCTCAGTTTGGCATTGCCTGAGTCCTCATTCTGTCTGTAAGAAGCCTCCTAATCTCTTGGCTTCCATCACCCACCACTAGACTTTAGCCCAAGACTATGCGGAGGTGCACATAACCCAGTGCTAAAAAGGGCGGTTTCCCTGGGATAATCAGGACTAAGAAACCATGCATAAAATCCTGTGCAACATGATTTGCTAATACCCTCAATTTAAAAGTTAAGGATCCAAGGGTAAAATTAGTTTGTTTCTTAAATTTTTTTGTCACTTTGACTATCTGACCCTGACTCAGAATAAGCCCTCATCATTCTTTGAAAGTTATATACTGTTTGATGATCACTGCCTGACAATGATTGATGAGTTTACCTATGTACCCTGTTTTCCTATGCAAATTGAACCCAATAAAAGCCCATTGAAAAACAGGCTCAAGACCCTCCACCTTTGAGAGATTGGCCACCTTTCCTCCCCAAGCAGGTCATGTCTTAGTAGACTTATTTTCATCCATGGAAGATTGAGGACCGGGCAGAACTGTGTGAACTGAGCACCACCCTCAATGGCCCTAGACTCTCTGTCTTGGTTGGTTGGACCATTGTCCTGTAACTTAAAGGTTGTAGGTTTGATTACTGGTCAGGGCATATACCTAGGTTCTGGGTTTGATCCCTAGTCAGGCACCAAAGATCCCTGGTCCAAACATGTGCAGGATGCACCAATTGATGTTTCTTTTTCTCTTCCATTTTCTCTCTTTCCATTTCCCCTCCCTGAGAAGCAAGGGAAAATGATATCAGGTGAGGGTAAAAAACATTAAAATTTCAAACATAGTCACTGGTATATAAGTTTCAAGTGCACGATTCTATAATATACCTCCTGTATACTGCATTATGTGTTCAGTATGCAAAATTCAGTCTGTCCATCACCATTTATTTCCCATTTATCTTCTTATACCTCTTTCACCCACTTTCCTTTGATGATCACTATACTGTTGTCTGCTTCTATGAATTTTTTTGTTTAACCCCTTCACCTTTTTCATGGAAAACCCAAACTCCCCTTCCCTCTGACAGCTGTCTCTGTATGTACCAGGTTGTTTTTATTTTCATTATAATCCACATGAGTGCAATTCTATGGTATTTGTTCCCTCATTTAATTCACTAATAATGACTGCCAGATCCATCCATGCTGTGGCAAAATGGTAAGATTTTCTTCCTTTCAACCTTCTGAATGAAATGTATAATACAGACCATATTTTGCTGTGTATAACATGCACCCTAATTTTGGCCCAGCTTTCAGGGTGGGCAACCCTTCTAATTGTTAAATTTAAATATTTGTTTATATTTAGATGTTTTTGTTTTATAAAAGAATTTTGGCATTAATTTTGAACATATTATGGCACAAGAAATTTTAAGGAATGAATAATACAAAACACAAGAATAGGTACTTGGTATTTCAGGTACTACTTGTTTATAATGCACAGCCTTGTTTTCCCCTAAAAAATGTGAGCAATACAGTGTGCATTATACATGGCAAAATACTGAGTATATAACACTTTGAACAAAATAGGAGTTTGGAAACCTGCTATCTTCCAGCACTTCTCCACACACACTGTCTTGGCACAAGCAGTCCCATTGTACATGGTGGTTTCTAAAGGCATTTTTTTTTGTCTCTGCTTTGCATTATGGTGATTGACTCAACTTGGCAAAAACTGGCAAGTCAGTTAATATTGGCAATTTTCAGTTAATACCTACCAATAAACACTTTGTTTAACGTCCTATTTTGAGGCTATCTCAGAATGGGAAAGCTGGTGCCCCTATGGTATCAGAGCTCAGTACCTCACTGCACTTAGGCCAGAAAAGATGCTGCAGTGTAGGCAGCTGGGCGAGTTCTGCAAGACACGCACGACGTCACGGGGTCAGGAAGATGGCTGCCTCCAGAACAGGAGAAGATGGTGTTCTGCACAGATCAGTTCCTTGGCTCGGCTGCTTGATTTCCCACTTGCACCAGTCTGTGCCCTTCCATCAGCTCCTGGCCACTGGTGCTGATCCCATCCATGAAGCCTGAGTGCGACCTCTCTGCTGCTGGCCTCCTAGTGAAGAGAAGCCCAGGACAAGAGAGTGAGTGGCCCCACTGTCCCAGGGTATCTGTTGGCATTCCTGCTCACAGCTCAGCTCTGCCATGCTGGCAAACCTGAGACAAGCTGACACAGGCCCAGGCTTACACGCAGTGTCCCGCGGGTGCCTGTGGGAATCTTAGGCAGAAGGTGGTGCGGGAGGGATTTGGAAAGGCCCAAGGTGGGAGGTCTGAACCTCAGACAGTCCAGGGGGTGCCCCATGACCCAGCATCCTGCAGGAAGTGTAGGGACATCTGTTTCCCCTGGACTCTCCTTGATGTGAGTAAAGGAGGAGAGGACTAAGGAGAAGAGGACTGTTGCTCTTTGTAATTATGGAAAGCTGACCATTCTTACCTGATGTGGTGCATATGATCTTTTTTCACTAAGTGGAAAACTGCAGTGCAAGGAAAATGAAAGCTCAGAAAAAAATGAAGGTGAATGAAGAACACTGGTTGCTGAGAGAAGCTGCTCGACTTCTGTATACAGTGTTTAGTTACCTATGAGCACAGAGTTTGAAAGTAAGTTCAATGACGAGGTTGTAGAAATTTGACCATTTAAAAATGTTAAGTTAAAAATGGTAAGATCTACTACTTAAACCATTAATACGGATGACCTTTGGAAAGCAGATTATAGAACAGTGTGGTTTAATATTTCATGTTCTCATAGCATAATACAAATAAGTTTCAAATTATGTGCCAAAATGGAATCCTTCAGTGTATTGTGATTGGTAATTTTCAGTTAATACCTAAGGATACAGTCTATGTATATTTTAATGAATAGTTGTGTTAAAACTCATCTTTATTATTTTCAAGTGTCAAAGGTAGTAAGCGTTTCAGTGATACTAGCGTTGGGGGAATACTTCAGTGTACTTTGGGTCAGAGCGACTAATGAAGCAAGACTTATTGAAAAAGTGACCCTTTCATCATTTCTAGCCCTTTTGGCTGAGATCAAGTGTAGTATGTTATTATCAGTTTGATATCTGACACATCCTCTTCCCGAGGATGTTATCTTCAATGAAATTTTAAAGCTGGCAGGTGGAATAAGAGTTTGCTCCACCCACTCCGAGCATCAACCTGGTATTGTGGTACTTCTACAAATGGTGCACCACCTTGGGGACACAAAAAAGTGACCTTTTAATGTTACAACTTCAATTACTATACTTATGTTTGAAATCGAGTGTGCTTGTGATGGAGCTATTACCTTTTAAGAATTGTGCTTAGTACCTGTGGATGATTGAAGATTAAGTAAAAAAATGGTGCATTTTATTATGATTGATAGTTTTCATTTTGTGGATGGCATTGTTTACTTAAACATGTTTTTTTTTCTCTAGCACTGAACATATGAGAGTATGAAAATAATTTTGAAAGGGCCAAGTATTACATGATATTTGTGGCAGGTAGTTTTTATTAACCAAACTTAGTCATTTGTGGAAGTCCAATAGGAATCTATAGTAGTTGTTGCTAGATTATTAGCATATTTAACATGGGAAGTCTGCATTTTCTAGTTGATATTTAGTGTTCTCATTGTTGCAGTTTAATTTTGTCTTAGGATTTATGAAATTTGAAACTCAGAGTAATAAAAAGAAGATGTTTTTGACAGTTAATGAGCTTTCTTAAAGCTCTTAGATTTGTTTTAAAACTGTTGCTAAAAATTTGACCTGGTGTGCTTAAAATGATTACATTTGTGCATTTTCCGTGCTTTCTGTCATTGAGAGTGTTATGGAAATGGTAAAGAGATGAGTGCAGAAAAACTCGGGAACATATTATGAAAGTATTTTTAAATTATAGTTTTTATTAGCTATATTTTGTATTGTTTGCTTCTTGGTAGCAAAGGAGGTACACAGTACCTGTATATTTGTGAAATAAATGTGGTATAGCTTAAAATGTAAAAATAGGTGAGTTAGATGGCTGTAATATCCACTTTTTATTTATGACAAAATACTCTTGATAAAAATACACTAGTTGCTTGATAGTAGGCCAAAAAGACAGGAAATAAAGCGGACAATTACTTTTTGGCTCGTATTAAAGTATTGTATTCTAATGTGCATTATCTCAATCATATATTTCACTTCTAGTAGAATAAACATTTTTGGGATAATATTCTAGTTGGACTGTGACCTTTAAGCTAAAACACACTTGGGCACTCTTATTTGCAGATGAGAAAACAGGCTCAAAGTAATGAAGTGTTTGACATAGTTGGTTACTAATTCAGTATTAGAATGCAGGTTTTGTTTTACTCTCAGTCCAGTGCTCTCTTCTGTTTTTGAGATACTATGAATTGGAATATTCCTCAAATCAGGCCTCTTACTGTCCTTTGGAGTAGAAAGTGGCTTTCACACTTTCCTTCCTAACAGATTCTGCAAGAATCATTACTCTAGGGAATAGAAATCAATACATATGGTACCTGTGACTCAAAAATTTCATTATATCCCAGTGCTAATAAAGTGTTAATGTTAAGTAAAGAGTATGTATTAGGTAAAGAGTCACAGGATTCACAGTAGCTTTTAAAGAAATCTTTATACTACCATAGCTTTAGGTTTACAGGAAGGTTGTGAATTCCCTTCTACCTCATACTCAATTTCCCATTATTTTACATTAGTGTGTGACATTTGTCAGAGTTAATGAACCAATAGTGACGCATTATTACCTGAAGTCTATAGTATTTCTCACATTTTCTTAGTTTTTGCCAAATGTCCATTTTCTGTCCCAGGATCCCATCCAGGATACATTGAAGTGTGAAATGTTCGAATATTTCTTATTAAGTTCTACTGGTGTTCCAAGAGAACTCTGAATGCAGATGATTTAAAATATCCTAGTGAGAGGCTCAGAAATTATGGAATATCTTTTCTCTGCTAGTAGTTTTGTGTAATCATATGGGTGGAAAACAAAGCCTAATTAGGTTTTGTTTTTCTACTTCTACAGAAGTAGTCATCATTGTGCATAATGGAAGCAGAACTGTGTTTTAATGCTTCTGTTGCTCCTTATTGATTAACTGCCATGCTGGGCATGGCAGTCAGTCATTTCCCAGCATTTTTTTTGCAAAGGCTGAATAACATGATTTTTTTAATTTAAATATTGTTCAAGTACAGTTTTCTGTCTTTTAGTGCCATCGCAACCCACACCCGCAGTGCTCCCCACCTCCCTTCCATTTCTACAACCCCTTCGTTGTTGTCCATGTGTACTTTATACTAGTTCCTGTAAATTCTTTTCCTTTTCCCCCTGAAATTTCCTCTCCTCTTCCTTCTGGTCACTGTCCCTTTGTTCTCTATTTCAGTGTCTTTGTTTTTATTTTGCTTGCTTGTTTGTTTTGTTGTTTAGCTTCCTGTTAAAGGTGAGATCATATGGTACCTGTCTTTCAATGCCTGACTTATGTTACTCAGCATGTTTTCCATTTCCATCCATACTGTTGAAAAGGGTAGGAGCTCCTTTCTTTCTGCTGCATAGAATTTCATTGTTTATATGTACCATACTTTTTTTATCTATTCATTTGCTAATGGCACCTACATAGCTTCCAGCTCTTGACTATTGTAAATTGTGCTGCTATGAACATTGGGGTGCATAGGTTCTCTTGGATTGGTGTTTTAGGGTTTTTAGGATATAATCCCAGCAGTGTAATTGCTGGGTCAAAAGGCAGCTCCATTTTTGCTTACTGTTTTCCATACTGTTTTCCACAGTGGTTATACCAGTCTGATGTCCCGCCAACAATGGATTAGGGTCCCCTCCTTTCCACAACCTCTCAAACACTTGTGTTTTGCTTCGTTAATGATGGCCATTCTTACCGGTGTAAAGTGGTATCTCATTGTTTTTGATTTGCATCTCTCTGATAGCTAGTGATATTGAGCATCTTTTCATGTGTCTCTAGATCTTCTGTATGTCCTCCTTGGAAAGATGTCTGGTCAAGTCCTTTGCCTACTTTTCCATTGGCATGCTTGTCTTCTTAGAGTGGAGTCATGTAAGTTCTTTGTATATTTTGGAGATTAAACCCTTGTCTGAGTTATCATTGGTAAATATGTTTTTTCATACAGTTGATTTTTTTATTTTAATACTGTTGTCTTTAGCCGTTCAAAAGCTTTTGATTTTGATGAGATTTCATTTGTTTATTCTTTCTTTATGTCCCTTCCTCTAGAAGACATATGAGTAAAAAAGTTGCTGTGTGAAATATCTGAGATTTTCTTGCCAATGTTTTCCTCTTGGACTTTAATGGTGTCATGGCTTATATTTAAGTCTTTTATTCATGTTGAATTTATTTAGGTGTATGATGTACGTTGGTGCTTGAGTTTCATTTTTTTGCACATAGCTGTCCAGTTCTCCCAAGACCATTTATTGAAGAGGCTATTATTAGTCCATTCTATGTTGCTGTTTTGTTTGTCAAATGTTAATTGGCCATAGAAATTTGGGTTTATTTCTGGCCTGTCTGATCTGGTCTATTGGTCTAAGTGCCAGTTTTTATGCCAGTACCAGGCTGTTTTAATTACAGTGGCCTTGTAATAGAGTTGGTATCAGATATTGTGATCCCTCCTACATTGTTCTTCTTCCTCAAAATTGCAGCTGCTATTCAGGGACATTTATGGTTCCATATAAATTTTTGAAGTGTTTGTTTTATGTCTGTGAAGTATGTCATGGAACATTTTTTTAATTTATTTTTTATTGATTATGCTGTTACAGTTGTTCTATTCCCCCCTTCATTCCCCTCCACCCTACCCCCCATCCCCACCATTACCCCTTCTTTAGTTTATAACCATGTGTCTCAAGTCCTTTAGATTCTATATTTCCCATACTATTCTTGACCTCCCATCTATTTTCTATCTACTGTCTATGCTACTTATTTTCTGTACCTTCTCCCTCCTTCTCCTTCTCCCACTCCCCTGTTGCTAACCCTCCTTGAGATCTTCATTTCTATGTTTCCACTCCTGATCTAGCTGTCCTTTTAGTTTGCTTTTGTTTTAGGTGTGGTTGTTAATAACTGTGAGTTTGTTGTCCTTTCACTGTTCATGTTTTTTTAGCTTCTTTTTCTTAGATAAGTCCCTTTAACATTTCATATAATAAAGGCTCGGTGATGATGAACTCCTTGAATTTGCTCTTATCTGAGAAGCACCTTACCTGTCCTTCCATTCTAAATGAAAGTTTTGCTGGATAGATCAATCTTGGATGTAGGTCTTTGGATTTCATGACTTGGAATACCTCTTTCCAGCCCCTTCTTGCCTGTAAGGTCTCTTTTGAGAAATCTGCTGACAGTCTGATGGGGACTCCTTTGTAGGTGACTGTCCCCTTAGCTCTTGCTGCTTCTAAGATTCTCTCCTTCATTTTAATCTTGGCTAATGTAATTATGATGTGCCTTGGTGTGTTTCTTCTTGAGTCCCACTTCTTTGGGACTCTCTGAGCTTCCTGGATTTCTTGGAAGTCTATTTCCTTTGCCAGATTGGGGAAATTCTCCTTTATTATTTGTTCAAATAAGTTTTTCACTGTTGGCTGTGCCTTTTCCCCTTCTGGTACCCCTATAATTTGGATGTTGGAGCATTTAAAGATGTCCTGGAGGTTCCAAATACTCTCCTCATTTTTTTTGAATTCTTGCTTCTTCACTCTTTTCTGTTTGGCCATTATTTGCTTTCTTCTGGTCCACTCCATTGATTTGAGTCCCAGTTTCCTTTTCATTGCTATTGGTTTCCTGTGCAATTCCATTCATTTTAATTAGTTTCACCTTCATATGTTTGTCTAATTTGTGGCTATACTCTACCAGTTCTGCGAGGATCCTGATCACCAGTGTTTTAAACTGTGCGTCTGAGAGTTTTGCTATGTCTTCATCACTTAGATTTATAGGCTCTGGGGCTTTGAGATATTCTTGAGATATTTTTGGTCTGTTCTCACCCATTACGTATGAGGAGCGAAGCCTTGGACTTTCCTGGGTCGCTGGGTTGTGAGGCTGTATGTGGAGGTGGGGTCAGAGCGGGGAAATGGTGGCCCCCTCTGCTGTTTCACAAAGCTGGGTGAGGAGCAGAGCCTCAGGTTGTTCACCAGGGCTGGGCCACTTAGGTCACTGGATTATGACCCTGTATGTGGAGGCAAGGTTAGATCGGGGAAATGGCGGCGCCCTTTGCCGCTTGCCGCTGGGGC